CTGCGGTGGCTGGGAGCGGCCACTGTACTCCAGTCTGGGCAACAGAGTGAGACTCCAACTGAAAAAAAAACCCCAAAAAACAAAAAAACCCAAATAGAGATAAGCTAATTCATCAAAATGGTGGAAATACTAGAGTTGGGAACAACAGATAACTAGAGGACATAAGAGGTAAGTAATATTCAGTTTTCATGAAGGCCAGTAAGCCTCTAAGGTAAACTTTACAATAAACCTCTAAGATAAACTAAATCAATTTGTTTCCTACAACTTCAAAGAAGCTAAAGTAATACTCCAAGATAAAGAAAATAATTGCCTTCTATCCTTCTGCACTGTGACAAAGGTCTCTACACTTTTTTTTTTTTTTTAGTTGGAATCTCACTCTGTCGCCCAGGCTGGAGTACAGTGGCACACTCATGCCACCACAGCCTTGACCTGCTGGGCAGGTGATCCTTCCCCCTCAGTCTTCCAAGTAGCTAGAACCAAAGGCATGTACCACCATGCCCTGATAATTTTTTGATTTATTGTAGAGATGAGGTCTCGCCATGTTGCTCAAGCTGGTCTCGAACCCCTGCATTCAGGCAATCCTCTCATCTCCGCCTCCCAAAGTGCTGGGATTACAAGTATGAGCCACCACGCCCGGCTTCCTATACTTCTTAATGAAGCCTTGGTCTGATCTCTCTAACTACCCTAGATAAGTTTCACAGGTAGCTTTTTATATCAATCCTAGAAGACAGTATGTCCCAAGGAGATTCCAGAATAGAGGACCACTTCAAGATAAGTAAAGTTCTAGCTTAAGTTATTATCTATAACAGCTGGGCCCTACATCAGCTAATGTCCTAAGCTGAGAGTCCTTTCTCATTCCGTTTCTTATTTTTTAATTAATTAATTTTTTGAGTAGAAGTCTCAACCTGTTGCCTGGGTTGGAGTACAGTGGCATGCTCACAGCCACTGTAGCCTCAACCTGCCGGGGTCTGGCGATCCTTCTGCCTCAGCTTTCCAAGTAGCTGGAACTACAGGCATGTGCCACGATGTCTGTCTTATTTTATTTATTTATTTATTATAGAGATAAGCTCTCATCAAATTGCTCAGGCTGGTCTCGAATCCCTGGACTCAGGCAATCCTCTCGCCTCTGCCTCCCAAAATTTGGGGATTACAGGCGTAAGCCACAAGCCTGGTTCTCATTCTGTTTCTAAACAATCCTTAAATTTATAAATATTCTAGAACTTGTTTCTTTTCCCATCCCCAATAGCCTCAGGTCCCACTTCAAAATTTAGTAATCACTGTGTAAAAGAATGGTACTATGTAGACTGGAAGCCACAAATCTAACACTGTAAGACATTGTAAGTAACTAAACTGGAATACTACCTGATGTCTGGGGATAAGATTTTGACATAACCAGTTAGGAGAGGGGTCTGGGCCAGCCTGCAGTGGTGGTACTGAAGTTGATGCACACATGGAATCCCAGTGCTATCAGAATACTCATGCTGAGACCTCATTATTTGAGATTGAGCAATGAGTTTTTTGGAAGGAGGAATAAAGGAAAACTGATAATCTGTCAAGCAGTGATGTTCCTATTTATTTACTTATTTATTTATTTATTTATTTTGAGTTGGAGTCTCACTTGGTTGCCCAGACTGGAGTGCAGTGGCCACTCCCGGCCACCACAGCCTCGACCTGCTGGGCTCCGGCGATCCTTCCGTCTCAGCCTTCCCAGTAGCTGGAATTACAGGCATGCGCTACCATGCCCGGCTGATTTTTTGATTTATTGTAGAGATGAGGTCTCGCTGCCCAGGCAGGTCTCGAACCCGAGGACTCAGGCAATCCACTCACCTCAGCCTCCCAAAGGTGTGGGATTACAGGCTGAGCCACCGAGCCTGGCTGTTGTTTCTATTTAATTTAACTTCATGTCTATCTTGGCCTGTCCATCAGACTCTAAATCTTTATTTTTATTAAGCACCTATTATGTACTAGATCCTGGTCTAGATATTAGAGATAATACATGAATAAAACAGGTAAAAATCTATGCTCTCATGGAGCTTACATTTTTGTATTAAAAACAGGTATATTTATTCATCTTTATTATCTTCAATGCCTGATTGCAAAACTTAAGACAAAGCTAGAATGATCAAAACTGTGTAAGACTCAAATAAAGACAAACACAAAGATTAATGGAATAGAATAGAAACTTCAAAAAGAAACTCACATATGTGGTCAAATGATTTATTTTATTTTATTTTATTTTATTTTTGAGTTGGGAGTCTCACTCTGTCGCCCAGACTGGAGTGCAGTGGCCGCTCCTGGCCACCGCAGCCTCGACCTGCTGGGATCCGGCGATCCTTCTGCCTCAGCCTTCCAAGTAACTGGAATTACAGGCATGCGCTACCATGCCCAGCTGATGTTTTGATTTATTGTAGAGATGAGGTCTCGTTGCCCAGGCGGGTCTCGAACCCGCAGGCTCAGGCAATCCACTCACCTCAGCCTCCCAAAGGCGCGGGATTACAGGCTGAGCCACTGAGCCCGGCTATGATTTTTAACAAGGATTATAAATCATTTAGTGAAGAAAGGACAATTTTCTAAACAA